TGGGCAGGCGGGCCCCCGGCCTCCCGGAGCCCGCCAGGCTCTCCCGCGCCGCCGATCTCCAGCGACCAGAGAGAGTGCCGCTTGTGGTGTCCCGAGTTCGGCGTCAGGCCCGAGCGGTGGAGGTGGTGGCGAGAATGATAAAGGACTTCTCAGCCGCGAAGTTGTTTTCGCGGTCAGAAGGAAAAAATGAGTTTAGCAGAAAGAAAGAAGCTTAATAAACAAGATGAGGTGCAGGAAAAGTGGAAGAACTGTCCCACGGATGCTTATGGCAAAATAGGGAAGTTTCATAAATGCCACAGTTCGTCACTACAGAACAGTGGTTGTTGCTTGAAATTCAACTTTTCAGTGTGGGCATCTTAAAAATAACCTTGGTTAATTTTTTCCTCCCAAGTGTGTGCCTTTATTATACCCTTTGTGGGCAGAAATTGTTTTTAATTATGCCAACCATGCAAGTAGAAAATTGTTTCTTGCAAAACAAAGATCAGTTGAAATAGCTGTGATGCTGTTATGCTTTGTTTGAATTATAGAACGTATAATAAACTTATATTCTTTTCTGCTGTAGACGCCTAAAATGCAGCATTGTAATTTGTGATGTGCTGTTTTTCTTCCAGGTTGAAGAGCTCACAAAGGAAGTCCATAACAGGAAGGAGAAAGATACGTCTAGTGTAGAAGTACAGACAGAGGACTATGCTGCATGGTCGCAAGCAGGTAGAGAGGGTGGTGATTGCTCAAACAGACATCTAGAACAGTATCTTCTATCGAGTTCTTTTTAGTATAAAATATGTTTCAAGTCTGTATCCTTAGCTGCATTGAACTCAGTAACCCGATGTTGTCTTTTGGACCATTTCCTATTCAAGCCGTTCTTTTTAGAACAGGATAAAATGTATCATGGACAGTAGCAGAATTCATGCTGTAGTAATCTGTTACATAGTAGTCTCACACATTACACATATTCATGTTTTACTGATTTTTAAAGAACATTAAGACATAATTTGCTTAGTAAAAATAGAATAAATTCAATGTGGAGACACTTCCTAGTAGCTGATTTTCATCAGACTGCTTGTATGCATAGATTTCCAGCTTAAGATTTAGGATCCTTAAACTACATTGTGTAAAATACTGCTTCGCTAGTTTATGTGACTTCAACTTTTTTTTTCTTCCTGCAGATTATTACTACTATGAAAATTATTACACTGATGCTCAAGACTGTGCATCTGAACTCCCAGTGCAGCACAATGATGGAAATGGAGGCACTGAGGGTAGTTCCACAGAGGAATCGCAGGCAGGTGCTAGTGTTCCTTTAAGGATTGATAGCACTGAAGTTGCTGAAGGTGGAGAAGAGGAAAATTTAATCCAGAATTCACAGGTTATAAAACTGTTTGGGATTTTACCAATTTTCAAATCAGCACTCTATTAATATTTGATTTCATTTAAAATGTGCTTTTGGTGTTCGTGTCATTTTATGAAGTAATTTTCTCTTTTTTTTTGGTGATGGTGGGGTGCTAATGATAGCAGACAAATCATCCTTCTGCTTTGAGACTAATTCTTTTTGTGATATGTTCCAAGTGTAACGTACTCCAAGATATGTGTTTTTTTAAAAAAAAAATCTAAATTCTAAAGCATGTGTCCTCAAGAGCCTAGAAGCATATGTTCAGTATGGCCATGTTAGCTATCCTACAACGCACTTTTTTTTTCCCCTCAGTTGATACGAGGAGGCAACACATAAGGAGAAGAAAGTTGTTACGGGGTTTCATTTGTTTTGTTTTTGTTTTATCCCTTCTATCCAAATCTATTTTAGGAATGCACTGGAAGATATTCACTGTATACTTTTGATGTGAATCCCTTTTGAATAAAGGTTGGGGAAAACGAAAGGCACAGAATGAAGTCTTGGTCCCGTTGAAATCAGTACGAGTTTGTCAGTAAACTACAGCTAGATTTTTGCCTTCTTGTTTGACAGTTCTTGAATCAATCCAAGTCCATAGAGCACTGATTTGTTTTATTTAAAATAAGGCACTATAAAATGCTGAAGAATCAAGGAGGTTCTTTTTAGAAGAAAATTTAATTCCTTACTTTTTGGTACCAGGAAGGAGAAGATACTTCAGTACCAGAGGGTTCTTTGGCAGAGAGCTTGAGAGCTGCTGCAGAAGCTGCTGTTTCACAAACCGGATTTATTTATGATGAAAATACAGGATTGTATTATGACCATAGCACTGGTTTCTACTATAATTCGGTAAGGATCGTTTTCAAAACCCTTGACTTTTTTTCTCTTTTTCTAAAGTTTTAGTAGTAAAAGTTGATGTGAGCGAAGAACTAAGATCCAAGCTGACTCTATGATTTGAAAAATGTTACTGAAGACAAAGAGTAATATAAGTTTGTTAATTAGTTCATTATTGAACTAATTCATTATTATCATATTAGTTCATTATTTCAGTCAAATTAAAGATAGCAGGCTAAGATATAAACTTAGATTTTCATTGAGTTCTTTTTGGTGTCTGCTAAATCTTTAACTTGCTTGACATTGTAGAAATTTTATACTCTAAAGCTGCTCTTACTCTTTCAAAATTAAGAGCTTGAGCTAAAAGATGATTTATTTAGAAAAAGTGTTCTTGTACTGGATTTACTGGCAAGGTATTGCTAGTGGGGCTGGGGGCTGCAGAGGCAGCCTCTGTGAGAAGAGGTCAGGGGCTGCCTGTACACGGCCAGTTCTGCTGCAGGACACAGCTGAGCCCATCAGAGAAGCTGGTGGTGCCTCTGTGAAAGCGTGTTTAAGAAAGGGTAAAACACTGCATAGCGGAGTGTGTATGTGGCAGAGGAGGGGAAGAAGGAGGGCAGTGCGAGAAGCAGCCCTGCAACGCCAAGGTCGAAGAAGAAGGAGCAGAAGGAGGTTCTCCAAGCACTGAAGCAGGCAATTGTGGAATTCCGCAGCAGTCTGTGGACCATGCTGGAGCAGGTATCCACACTGCAGCCTGTGGAGGATCCCACAGCAGAGCAGCGCCTTGAGGAGCTGTGGCCCATGGAGAGCTCGTGCCAGAGCAGGTTCCCCTGGCTGGAGCTGTGGCCTGTGGAGGACCCACACTGGAGCAGTTCTTGAAGGACTGCAGTCAATGTGAAGGACCCATGCTGGGCAGGGTAAAGACATGAGGAGGAAGGAGCCGCAGAGAGGAGCTGTTACGAACTGACTGCATCCCTGGCTCCTCTCTGCGTGGCTCAAGGAGAGGCAAGAGAGGTAGAAGAGCTGGGAATGAAGCAGTAAAGTAGAGCTTGGGGAAAAAAAGGAGTGAGTAGAGGTGTTGTCTTTTTCTCATCTTCCAGCACGCTTTTAACTGGCAATGAATTAAATTTATTTTCACCAAGTCAAGCTGGTTTGCCCATGATGGTGATCTCCCTGTCTTTATCTTAACCTATGAGCTTTTCATCTTATTTTCTCTCCCAGTCCTGTTGAGGAGGGGGACTGAGAGCGACTGGGTGGGCACCTGGTAGCCAGCCATGGTCAACCCACCACAGTTCTTTAGTACGTTTGAGTATTTATTTATTTTCTAACTTAGTATGTGGTTCTTTATTTACCGAGTGTTTCTTTAAACGATGTATTTATTGAAGTCATGATAACATTGTTCTTTGTTTCGGATAAAGGAAAATCAACTATATTATGATCCAGCAACTGGAATTTATTACTACTGCGATGTGGAAAGCGGCCGATACCAATTTCATTCACGTGTGGATCTGCAGTCTTATCAGGCTTCTGGTACTCAGCACACCAAGGATAAAAAAGGGAAAAAGAAGAGAAAAGAACCAGAGCGGATTACTGCAAATGAGTATAAGGTAACTTTAGAACTGAGAGGCAGACATACAAAACGTGGTTTTTTTCTTTCCTTATGCAATTCATGGATTGTGCGTTTTGGTTTTATGTAGAGGATGTATGCTTATTTTCTGAAGGAATCAAACATCTTTAGACTATATACAGCAGGTTGCTAACCTGTAGTTAGTGTTCAAATAATTTTCCCAGTGAGTGATTAAGGATGAAACTTTAAAATTTAATTCCTTCACTCTATTTTAAAATAATTACAATGCAGCTATATAGATGTCTAAAATTGAGTGTCAGTGAAGCTCTCTCAATAGCAAGCAAACTAGAATGAATTCAGGGTACTGTGTGGACTGGATTTACCTCAGAAATTCAGTGTTAACCTCAACGTCTTGGTTTTAGGGTTTTGGCTTGTGGTTTTTTTGTTGCCTTTTTTTTTTTTAATTCACATGATTAATCAAAAAATGACTAAAGGTTTTGAAAATGCACACACTACCTCTTCTCTGTGGCTCCATATTCCATAGCTCAGTCAGTTGACATTCTTCTGTGTCTCTACCATCATTTTGGTATTGGTGAAATGTCTGTGAAGTTCCAACTCTTTGCATACTATACTCTTCTATTGACATTTTATTTGATCAATACATTTTTATTGTCCGCAGCATGCGGATAAGCTGTACATCTTAATAAATGCCCATTGTAATTAACTTGTATTTTTAAGTTATAAAAAACATAACTTCCTTTCATTTTTTTTCTGATTGCTAAGAAAGCATACCGTATAGTACATAGTGACTGCCTTAAAACATTGCTCCTAAACAGCAGAAGTTTTATTGTAACACGGCTATTAAACCTCCAGGAGCGTTTTCTTAATGAACACTATTATTGATGTTGAATCAAATTTGTATAGTCCTATTCTGCAAATTCGCTTTATTGCCTAAGATTTAATTGAATGTATTGATTTCTTTAGTTTGCAGTGCTCCTTAGTTTGCACGTTTTAAAGTTATTGCTTTAACCATTGCACGATGTCCTTATGTAAGGGACAAGCTGACTGGTTGAAATCTAAAATAATTACGTTAGTGTGCAGTTACTTTTACGTAATAGTTACAGAGCATCAGTATAGAGTTTAAAAATTTTGTATTTTTGTATCAGTGAGGTCTTCTGAAAGACTTGAAAATGGGAACTTTACATTAAGAACAGGTGAAGGTAGGTTAAATGGATAGTGGTAGTTGATGGATTATGGATTTTATAGATATATAGATTTTATAGAGTGTGGCTAATGTGGGAATTTCTGCTCTTCAAGAAAACTTGATGCGAACCATTCCGTTTTGAAGGCTTGAAGTAGATATGTAGCAACACTAAGAATAGCGATCCTTTAGACTTGAGAGGGGAACTATTGCAGTTGAAGCTAGGAGCTTTACCAGCGTCCACGTCTTGGGCATGCTGAATGCAACTGCTGGATGAGCATTCTGCCATTCCCAAAAGGGATTGTTGATGCAGAACTTTATTCATCAGGTGTCAGGAAAGCATCATGGAAAGTTTGTAGGAACGAGCCTTTATAATGTAGTGCGTTAATAAATCTCTTTGGTTTAGTTCTATGATGAATTGTTACATGTTGACCTAAATCAAGAAGTGTATTTATAAAAGTTCTGTGATGTATATAGCTCTGACTCAACAAATAGTTTTGACTACTTTGTGAGATCTTGTCACAATCCACTTCTGTCATCTGATTATACTACAAATAGCTGCTTGTCTTTAGCTTATTTTATATTGATAAAAAATTTTCATATAGATTGTCTTGTTAACAAATCTTCTGTGTGAAGCTTGCACGGTCACAAGGTAGGAGGTTAACATCACTTTTTATGATATGTTTTGTTGATAGTGAACTGAGTACTTTGTTTTATTTGTGGATTAATTTGTTTGACCAATAAGAACAGGAAAAACATTTAAAACAGATTCTGTAGTGCACAGATCTTTGCATCTGTGACCAGTGGGTGAAGGTTAGTGTTGTAGTAAGAATCAAGGCCTTTTCTGTTTTTTAAAAAACAAAAAAAAGGGGAGACCACAAAGTGAAACTTTACTATTACTCTCCGCTTTAAACTTCAAAAAGCAAAGTGCCTTATTATGTTAGATTTAGAAAAAGCAAAAGCACCCTACTGTCTTATTTTATGTTTATTTAGCTGAGTTTAAATACTTTATTTTTTCTGTATGGTTCTTAATCATTTTCGTGGTTTAACGTGGCAGGCAGTGGAGAGGAACTCATGTGCTTAGTATCTCCTGAGGAATAATCCTAATTTATGCAAGAACTTTATCTTTAAAGAGATTCTTTTTTTTCAGTCACCAAACTTCTATTTTACAAATAGTTTTCTTTTGACTTACGAAACTCAGTATGCTGCTCACATGCTTGCTTTTAGTAGACAATCAGGAGTTTTATTTGCCAGGATAAAGTCTTAGAAAGCCTCTGTGCAGCTTGCATAAAGAGGATGAGTAGAGTAGTTTGGAACTTTCAGGCATATAGTTCAGTTCTGATAACTTTTTGTAGTGGTGGGCCAAAAAAAAAAAAAGTGGGGCAAGAAATACTATAATTATCTCCTGTGCAAAAAAAAAAAACCACAACAACCCACCTTTAAATAAATAAATTAGGAAAAGGTTGTTTTTTAAAAAAAAAAACAAACAAACAAACAAAA